ACTGACCTCTCTGCTGCATCACATCACTCCTTGAAATGCTCTTCCCCTGACTTTGGTAGTACTGTATTGCTGTTTTCCCTACCTTCCCTTACCATATTCTAAGTACAAGAAATTTCTCCAGAATTTTGTAAGGACTCTCTTTTCTACGTCTGTCTACATTCTTCCTTGATGATCTTATCCTCTTCCAGGCTTCATTATCATCAAAGTGTGATGACCTCCAAATCTGTACCTGTAGGTTAGACCAGTGGCTGATGGGCCAGGGCCATAGAATTGCTCAAGTGTTCTTAAATCCTAATCACTTGCTATCAAGGGAAAAAGATGTCTCTCAGACATGTCTACTTTACAAATAAAAGTAAATATAAACTTCTGTGATTATATAAAATACAAATTCATTTAAAAGTATAATTGAATCTCTAGTTGCTTTCATTATTAGTTGCCTCTCCACTGACAAATGATAAAATTATCATGAGCATTTGCAATTTTTTAAATTTACAAGGTGATCCTCCTGGAACCATCATGTGGTGTGGTGGCTAAGGTGCTGGACTCCCCCGTGGTCGACCATGGTTGGAACCCCAGACCTGGTGGCTTGAAAATCAAACAATGTATGTATGCACACGTGTGCCCCAAATCCCAGGACAATGGAGAAGGGACTTCGGCATGGCCACCCCCTTCACAGGGTGTGTGTGTTGTGTGTGTGTGGGGGGGGATGATTTCTCACTTTCCTCTCCAGGAAGCACACTCACCCTACAGCAAAAACCTTACAGCAAAAACCCTGGTGGGGAGGGAAGTGATCCTCCTACCTTTAGAGAACCAACAGCCTGAACTATCCTTCTGAATTGTAATTTGGCATTCTACCTGGGGACTCTTAAAATCTCAAGTCCGATATGTTCAAAACAAGTAGTTTCTCATGTCCTTCCATTCTTCCAGATTCTCAATTTTTTTTGCTTAAATGATTTAATTCTGGGGATCCACAGATGGTGTAATGGTTACGTCGCTGGACTCCCATGTAGTTGACTGAGGTTTGAGTCCCAGACCTAGTGACTCACACCAGGCGCATGTGTATGCATGCCCCAAATCCTGAGGAGAACAGAGAAGGGACTGCATGCAGCATGGCCATCCACTCTGGGGGGGAGGGGTGATTTCTCACTTTCTGTTTGTTTCTGTTTCTCTCTGTCTCTCTGGTGAGTGCATATGCCCTATAGCAAAAACCTCTCTTAAAAAATATGTTATTATTCTTTTTAAATTTAGTACATGGCACATAGACTCCCCAGAGACAAAAATAACAAGGCAAACCACCAGGTCCTGGACTCAAACTGTGGTCAGCCATGTGAGTCCAGCGACTTAACCCCCAAGCCACCTGCTCTCCCCCAAACTGCTTCTTTTAGTTGCACCACTACTCTTCCAGTTTCCTCCATTAATAAAAGCAAGAATTTTATCTTTTGTTTTTTCCTCTTCCTTCCTTGAATGTCTGTTAGACCATACCATCATCCTTTCTGTCTGATTCAGAAGCATCTACTTTGTTTTGCATTGCTTCTTGCCCCAATTCTGAAAAAGTGCTTCCTTCCCTTCGATACACCCCATACTGCAAGGGTGGCTTTACATTCCTAAAGGACAGATGTGGCTTTTTACTCATCTATGCAAATGTTTCCACTGCACAGAGAAAAAAATCCCAACTACTCATGTAGACAGGCATTCTAGACTCAAACCTAACTTTCCAGTCTTCTCTGTTCCTGAACATACCCTAATGCTCGTGCCAGGGAGATACACTGAGCACTCCCCAATTGTGCACTACACACCCCTGCCTCTATGCCAGGCATCCTCTCCCTCCCTCCAGCCTCCATTGCCTTTTCCCTAAAGTTTTTCCCATACCTCCAGCTACAGGTGTCCTTTCCCTTCTTTGAAGCTCATAATGACAATCTCTTCTCTATTTTCCAGTAATTCAAATATGCTAGGCACTAAGGTAGTTGTGGGGATGTGGAGGAAAGGCAGTACTTCACGGAGAACTGGTAAAGAGGGAGGAGATTGGACAAACAGCAGGCATGTAAAAGCACTGTGATAAATGTTATGCGTCGTTTTATACGTAAGGAGCTAGAGAACAGAGAAGCTGACTACTGACTTACCTGGTTCTGCAGAATAAGTTACTGGTAGGCTATAAACATCCCGAAGGTACAAAATAGGTCTCATACATCTTTTATCCTCCTCTATTCCTAGAAAAGTGTTCTTTGCAGAATAAAACCGCCATGGAGGCTGCTGCTGAATAAACCCAACATCTGAATGGAATCTGATTAGCAGGCTTCTTTCATATCCCAAAAGGAACGCTTTCTGTGTAAATGGGCGTCCCAATGAACTGCCTGTCTCACAATCCGGCATCCTGTTGCGCCCTGGTATTTTCAATTCTCTCATCCTCAATCCTTCCTATTTCTTAGAAAGCTATGGTGGACTCAGGTAAGATGGCTACTGGGTTGTTGGAAAAGTCATGACATAGTTTTCTACATAAAAATGTGCCATGACTTTTCCAATGATCCAATACCTTTCCCGGAGATCAAAGGATACTCTCCCAAATACAGGAACTGGAACTACACACGGTTAGTGTTAACTGACATCACATGTGAGTCGAGTGTCAATACCATCAATACCAGTATTTCAAGAATTCAAGTTCTGTCATGAGAGATCCTAGGTCTATTTCTTATCATAGAATTTGAAGAGACTTGTTCTCTTCTTCTTCTGTTCCTATAAATTTAATGTTGTATAAGTTATCCCCAAATAACAAGTATCTACCGCATTTATATTAGGATGAATTCATAATCATTACTTTTGACTCTTCTTTCTTCCATGCCGTAAGAATCACTGTACACACTCACAGTCATTACATACACATATAGACATACACACTTTCATGAAGCCTGACATTCCAAAAACAGACTCTTCCCAGAATGGGGGAAAGCAAAGGTAAAATCCTAGGAAGGCCTGACTTGGTAATGCATGAGACTATAAATTCCTTCTGCCCAACACAGCCTGAAATTTTTACTTACAAATGATCTGAATTAACATCAACCTCTCTGAGACTTACCAAAAAAATGTGAAAAACCTTGGGAAGAGTTAAGAGCTCATGAGTCATTTACAGATTAAGGTGAATTAGTTCCACCAGATTGTTTTTCTCCTAACATCTAGATGAAATCCACTATACACTAAGGGGATGAAAGATTGAGATGGGAAATGGGGACAAAGGAAACAGGAAATGCAGGGCTAGAGACTACAGGGAAAGCCTCTGAAGTCCTGCCAAGTTTAGGAGAGTGTAGCTTGAAGGTACAGGGGTTTGGGAGAAGGGTGCAGTACAGGGTGAAACTGAAAAGGTTTATGAAAAGCCAGCATGTGACTTAGGAGAGCATACTTGTTTTAAATCCTGGTCCTAGAACCCAGAACTTAACTAAAGTGATAGATACATACAACAGTTATTTGAATATGTATTTCATGGGTTACTTCTGATGTAGAACTGGCCTACTAGCTCCTATATATGTATTCCAAATTCTAAACGATTTACGTAGGCACTTTTTAGTAAGCCTTCAGTGATATATGTTGTCAAGACCACTTTCGATCTTACTACTGTCATAGCTATGACTTAAAGTCACAGCTTCCCATGAAGGAATGGTAATTTGGGAAACAAGATGTTCTCCTCTATTGATTCTTTTTCTGAATTCTGAATGAAGCTGGGAAAAACTTTTTGAGTGATCTGATAAAATTTTAATGATAAAGTAAATCAGATTTATTTTGCTACTCAACAATAACTTTGCATTAATGAAAACACATACAGGCAAATACCAGCGTTTCATATAATAGCTGGATATTCTTCGACCAACCAATAGCCAACACATTCAACAAACATTAAGTGCTTCCGAAAATACAGAAGGCAATACATATAAAACTTACCTTTTCAGGCATTTCTCTGTAAAAATTATTAAATTAGCATACCAAGCAAATTATTGTTCGGCACCCCAAATACAACGTATTGAGAAATGACAAACTATTTGAAAGCTTAATGGTATGTTTTAGCTCTGAGAATTCTCACAAGATCAGGATTACTATTTTTTCACAGCATCAACTTCTCCAATTCCCCACTTGCTCCATTATTAAGTTTAAGGGAGCATATTCTACTATTGTATGAGTTATTGAACATGTCAGATCCGAAAGGAAATTTGCATTTAATATCATAACTGTACTATTCGTTCTACTACTCAAAAGAATCAAAGAAGCAGGCAAGATAAAAATAAATCCAAAGCAAAGGGACTAGCAAGCATGTATTACGCTCAAGTGGATATTTATTCTGTAACACACATAATAAATTCCACAATGAAATATGCATAGACAAATTAACTATATATTAGCATGGTCTTAAACTGTTCAAAACAAATTAAAAAATGGTCACTTCCATGAATGTAATTAAAAACATATCATGGTTCAACAGTAAGTAATCAGAACACAGCTTCATATTTTAAGATACATTTTGCAATTTTTATATGAAAAAATGCACAGGAACAGTGCCAACCGAAACTAACTACAGGTTGACTATAGCAGAATAGATTGAGTTCATCCTCAATCTCAGGATGAACTCAGCAGACACAAACACCTGACATACTTCTGTTTCCATCCAGCCACTTTTTACTTTAAATATTTAAAGTTCATGCACCAAGTTTTCAAAGGTCTCTCCTATTTCATAATTTTTTCTTTCAAAGCACCCATAGTATAACCCTCCCCAATATCTAATAATAAACCACCATGTTAAAGTGTGATTAGAAGAAAATAGCTCATTCTTTACATAAAAAAAAATTTACCAATTTTCCTATAAGAAGTGAATGTTATTTACTAGTCGCAAGAAAAGAAAAAGAACTTAGGTAAGATAATTCATTTGTATTTATTTTAAAGTAAGACAGAAAAAGTATCTATTACACTTATCAAACTATGTATTAACAATTAGATAATATAAATTTTCTTGTACTGCCTATGTATGCCTAAGGATTTGTCATTTGCGTTACATCCACAATTAGTAGGCATAATGAAATAAAGTATCTCTAGTGTTTCAAGGTATTTTTTTATTATTATTCATATATTCACATATACTATGAAACCATTAAAGATAGGGAAAACAAAATATTTCTAACATGGGGATGGCACAGTAACTTTCCTGAAAGATGGTAAAAATAACAAAACAAGAAGAATTCCAAAGTTCCCTTGAAATGATTCTCTTTCAAGACATGATGTTCCAACATCTAATACCCATTTCCTAAGGCTGACCTTGCCAGCCATGCACAAATTCACAAACGTACACTTATTTGCATGTTAACACCTATAAAGACAATGATCTTCTAAACTTAATGAAAAGACATGAAATGTCTCAAATGATAGGAATATGGAAGGAAAAAGGAGTACCCTTGAATCTAAGAGCCACTTTTACTGGCATTTAGACCAGAAGCAGCTCTTTCAAGTCTTCAGGAAGATACCAGGCTCTACCCAAAGCAGAGGAAGCAATCCTATGCATCCTCTCTTCCAATATTTCCTCTTAAAACCCACATAAATTATTAAATGTCATAACTAAGTATGTTGTACAAGGAAAACATTCAAAGAAATGAAAATCTAAGAAGGTAATTCACTATGTGCACACTTTCCTAACAAAACAGCTAGGCATTTCCTACCTGACTAATCTATTTTAAATTCGGTTCCTCTGTTCCTATGCAATCTAATATTATCTATTAAAACTGCCAAAATATTTTTAAACAAGATCTGAGAATTTCTCTCTCAGCTTCTGATCTTTGCACTCCTTAAGCTGGCAGACACGTCACTGGCAAACCAATCGGTAGTGACAAGTTACTCCAAATCACCCCTTTCGGTTGAAATTTTAAATTAACCACCCCCAAATTTTCCATGCCTCCCGAACCTCAGCGAACAAGGGGTTAAGTAAATGTATGCGAGTCCAGGATTCCTCCTGATCACCTGCTGCAAAACTTGTTCTGCACAATCTATAAATGAATATTCCAACTCTACTATGATTGTGTTCCCCAGGATCCTGCAGCATTTACACTTACTAGAAGTGTTGCTTCTCATCCCAAGCCTTGTGAGCCCTAAGACTTCAAACCAGGGACATGGAGAAGCACGCACTTCCAGTGTTTCTCCGTGGTAAGGTCACACACCTCTGCATCCGAGGCTTGTGTGTCCCACATGTGTCTGCAAATTCCTCACTCGGCCTTGGAGGCACAATGAGTCTCCTCGCTTCCCTGCACTGCACCTCGGTGCCAAGTTTCTGTAAGCCACTTCCAAGCAAAACTCTCCTTCCGCTTCTTCAAAGAAAACTACGTTCGGAAGGAGAGGATACCCGGGAAGAAAATTAAGAAGGTAAGTGCGACACTTTTATAAAGTAAACAATCAAAAAACCTGCCCCTGGCCACGAAGGCTGCACAACTCCGGGGCCGGTGCGCGCACTCCCAACGCGCACGGCCACACGCCACCC